TAGGGAATCCCAATCGCCCAGGATTTAGTGGTTCAGTAAAGACCTATTAAATTACAACTTCGTACTCTGAAAGTTCACTGGAAAGAGTTCTGTATAGTATTAAGTTTCTAACATGTAGTCTTTCCATAAATAAAATATTTTCTTAAAAGTGAAATGTGTTTCAATTAGGCTGGCACCAAGTACCAGCTTATTACACTGTGTTCTGCAGAGCTAAACTTCCCCTTTATTTTGGAGGGTAATTGTAGCAGGCTGTATGGACTGATTTCCCCTCATCCTCTGCCATGGCTTCTCTAGGTGTGACACTGTTAGTTTGAATTGCTGAACCACTTATACTGCCTTGCCAAGCCAGAGTTATTTTTAAATGAAGTTTTTTTTCTGTTTTTCCATCAAGCGCCAGAAGTACTTTATTTAAAAGGACAAAAAAGTCTAAGGCTTATTACTGTGCATATAAGATTTTTCATCTGTTTCCTATCATATGTACAGAACATCAAGATTTGGGTATAAAAGCAGAACAGACCAGATTTCATAAGTATATATGTCTAATGATTTTATGTTATACTGGATATATTTTTTTCATTTTATGCTAGATTTAAGTTTCAGTTTACCCCTAAATATAAATTATGAGCTTAGATTTCTAAAATTGTCCAGCTTGCAATACATTTAGTTTCATTTCCTTTTTGGGACCATTAATTTTGCTGTTTGTAATTCTGGCTTTGCTTGTAATATAAAAGGGAAGAGGAGAGTAAATATAGCCTCCAGAACCAAAGGCTGTCCAGTTAGTGTCTGTTTTTTATGGCAGACTAAGTAATACTAATAAAGCCAATGATTTGAGAGAAAGGCATATAACTTACTTAAATATTTCAGTATTATCTGACACAGATGTGCATCTTAGAGATATTCTCAGCTGCTCCAGCTCCACATAAGTACAAGGTCAATCAGTTTTCTCAGGGGTGTTTACCTGCAGCTATCCCATACCACTGCAGCTTCACTGTAAATAAGAGTCTGTGGGGAGAGAAGAAAAGTCTCAGAGGCTGCTCTAGGCAGTGGTCTCTCCTGTAACATCTTCCAGCCATTACCTGCTCCTTTTCTTCCTTCAGATAAGAGCAGCTTGAAACTACATCTTTCTAATAGGAGGTGTTGATGGTCCCACTGGCCCAGTTTTGTTCCTTGTAATCTGTTGCCTCTTGGTTTTTGAATGGTGCTCTGCTGCACGGTGTGATGGCAATTAGCACTGTTTCTCATGTCACTGGCATCCTAAAATGGTATGCTGAAACTCCATATAACAGGGTGTTTCCAAGCTGGCCTCTACTGATCTGCTTTCCTCCCTGCTCTGGTCTTTTGATGGAGTTCTCAAGTAGGTCAGTGGGTGATCATTCTTTTTCTGCTTGTGAACTGGATCCTCCAAATGTAGAAAAGCGATTTATAACTGTGATTGAATTATAATTTTTTTCTTTCTCTACATTTTAATCTTTCAGCATTCTGTGCAATTTAGATTATAAAGCTAAGTTGCATTTTACTAAGTTAAGATATAGCTGGGAGCAACCCCAATATAAAAAAAAATTAATGACCCATAATAGACTTCTGAATTTGGATTTTGTCTCAAGTAACTTACTGCCTTAAGGGACAAAAAAAAGTGGCCAGCTCTGCAGATCAGATCAGTGCTGCTTATAGCTCACTAGCTCATTTGGCAGATGATTTACAATAGGATATCTACTGCACAGTCATCTCTTTCATTGAAAAATTCCCATCTCCAACATTTTTTACCACTCCCTCCTTGGTAAAGGAGAAAGTGTATTTTAGTTCATTCTGCTATGTAAACCTTTCTACTTTGAACTGACAAGTTGATGCAGAAGAATTTTCAAGTTCTTACTCATAAATGGTCTCTGTTCTCACATGGTAAAACAAAATTCTGAATTGTTAAAGGTTTTCTGAATATTGAAAAAATGAGTTATGGACATAAATAAATTGCTCTCCTCTAGAATATTTGGCACTACTGGTCACCCTAGGTTACAGAGGACTTCAAGGAAGTAGGAAAAATACATCAAGAATGATGTTTTATTGTTTCAGGTTTACTGATAGGAAAAGTTAAATAAATCTTGGTTGAAGAAAGGCAGAAATACTAAATGGTAAAGATTTATTTTGCAAACCCCAGGATCAGACTTGTTTCTACACTAGCAGCCTGGAAACACTTACTGGAATGGCAACAGCTGTGACACCAAATACTGAAATTCAAATAAAACTCCTAAAGGAGTTTTGCAGCGTGAACTGGTGCTCTATGGTTATTTAAATTATAGCCACATTTGGAATTTATGGAGCAATTACTTGCTGTCTCTTACAGTAACTTTGAAGGATTGATTCTGCTGATGTGTTATGCGTTCTATCCTTTACTGAAACAACTGAAATAGAGAGAATTATATAAACAGCATGTGTATCTTTTCAGAAGCGAGCTTTGTTTTTAGATACAGTCCTCAGCTTTCTGGGTTGAACCCAGAAATCAAAAAATTGCATGACTTGGGTTGTAGCTCTGGCTGTTCTGGTTATTTTTTCATGAATATGTCAATTTCCTAGTTTGTTAAATTAGAAAGAATAGTATCTGTTCACTTCTCAGAGTATTTTAATATCTGAAGATTAAAAAAACAATTCACATCTTGCATGTACATGCACGTTCAACTAAATTGAGTGTGATTACTCAAGCATAAAGTTGCATTTGTAAATGTTTATAGATTATAATCTAAATTTCAATATTATTTCCTAAGTTAAAACTATCATTACAAATACTTACAAATGTTTAAGATCAGTCTAAAGGATGGTAATACATTATCTGGATTACAGTTGAAAACAATGTTGTTATAGTTATTGATAATTGGTCTGATTTATGAAAAATTAAAGTATTTGCTTTCTTAGCAAGATTTATAGTCAGACCAATTTGTAACTTGGAAAATTGCCCAGCACTTTCATGAGAATTGTACTTGCATTGCTAATAGTCTCATAATTACTTTTTCTTTTGGGGAAACAAAGGTGTTTTATAAGAAGGAAGTAGGAGCTGGCACAGCTGTAAAAGAGACTCCAGAGATTGAGAGAGTAAAGAAAAATCAACAGAATATTAGTTCAGTAAGTATTATTAACATTAATTATTCTTATGTGAGTAAGTGGTGGTCAATTTTTTTTTTCCGTCTTGTTTATTAAAAGTTCTATATTTTCATATCACATATCTAATTCAAATAGTATTCCACTGGATTTTGGATATAGAGCTTCATTCTAGAAGAGTTAGAGCTCCACTCTAGTGTAGTTCTTCTCTGTCCAAAGGTAGAGTTTCATACTGACGCATCATGAAAAATAGGAAAAACTTTTTACTAAATATTTGAGGAGAGAGTTTTGTCTTTCCAGAATGAAAAACCTGATATGTATTTCCTGATAAGACAGACTGAACAGCAGTTGTAACTTGCGATTTAGAAAATCATCATATCATCACAAAACCCAGAATCTGTAAAGTTCCTGTGGAGTCTGGTGCAGTTGTACCAGTGCAGTTTGTACTTTTAGAAGAGGAAGATGATGTCCAGACTCGAGCTATGTGAAAAGGTTAGGGCCTGATCTGGTGAGACTGAATTTATGTTTATCTATGGATGACCAATGTCTTTGGCATTTTAATGGGTAACTGAAATTAAATATCAAAATGAGAATTTTTACAAGTAGAACATATTCTGATAAATAAGTGGCAAAACTTAGAAAAAAGTGGACAAGTGACTGCCGAGCAAAAACCTTGTAGCTGCATTGTTTATTTGTTTGGAATTTTTGGTGTGGAGTCCTCTGGGGCTATTCTTATGTTTGTGACATGGCTTTTCTGAACATGAGAAACTTTTTGAAAAATAAAGTTTGAAAGTAATGCATAGACATGACACTAGGTTTTGTTTAACTATTAGTTGAAATGCAAATTAGGGACTCTGGACACCTATTTTACTAGCATTGCCTTGTTTACTGTGTAGTGTTAAATATTGCATTTCCCACCAAAGTAAAGTCAGGTAGGGAATTTCCATAAAATTTTGAAAAACTATTCCTTGAAAAAAATTTTCCTTGGAATTTTTCTCTGCTCCATCTTACTTTTCACCTTGTCATTTTGAGTCACAGTGAAATTTTAAGATTCATTGTAAGCCATCATGTGTCCTAAATCCTGAAATAATCCTTCTGGTTGGGAAGCTGTAGGGTTTTGTGATTTGAGGGTGGTGGGTTTTTGTTGTTTTATTTGTTTTCCTCCCACCCTGTGCAATTATGTATTTGAGGGTTTTTTTTTAGCCAGTTTTGCATTGGTGTTCTAGAAACAAAAAACCTAATCTCCTAGTACGTATTTGATTTCCAGTTACCACAGACATCTATTTGAAGAGCAGTCACACACACAGAGGTTTATTAGGTGTACTCTTACTCTAATGCTTTTTTGCAGTGTCTTTCAAAGTGAAATGGAAAAATAGTGTGCAGTGTTTTTGCTGTTTCAGAAATCCTAAACAATGGTGAGGAGAGGAAAATAAAAGGTGGATCAGTATGTTAGTAAACATACTTGAACAAAAGCATATCAAGAGAAGCACAAAATGCCTTAGTGGTTTAGTGGTGTGATATGAGTAACATGGCCTTTACCTTGCTAGTCTGTATGTAGAGTTAATATTTTACAAAAGATATTTTATTACATGGAGTGTATTGAGATTACTTAAGTCTTGTATAATGTTTAATAAAAGTGTAGAATGCCAAATTTAAAGGTAGTGTGTAAGGAAGTTTTAAATTATATGTCAGTAAGAGGGAAATTATATTGTGTAAGAAACAGCCGTCCCAAAGGAAGGGTAAATGACACCAATTTTGACTCCTTTAGATTTAAACATTTTACGCATATCTTTGAATTTAGCCAGAAGGACTTAGGGCAGCTTTAAAACTATTTGCTGAGCTAAATGAAAGTATGGAATGTGAAGCATATCTGTTGTGCAAAAAAACCTAGAACACCAAACCAAAATAACACTTGCTCTACAACCAAACCATGCAAAAAGTCAATTGCATCATATTCTAAACGTGATCAAATTCTTCCAGATGACATTTGTTGGAGACAAAGCTCAGAACAGTCTGTTTTCAAATCCTAAAAAACAAGGTGGTGACAGTCAGGGTGGTTGAGCTCATCTCACCTGATGTGATGACTGGTTTGGAAGAAACAGCTTCCTAAAGAGTTGGAGTCAAGATCTCACAGAACTTTAAGAGCAAACATCAGACCCATGGACTGTAGCTGAATCTGAACCAATATGCTACAAATAACAAAGAGTATTTTTTAAAAACTTCTTTATATTGAAGGACAGGCAGGACTGGACATAGCCTTTGGAAAAAGGTTTTTGGGGGAAGATTGTAACTGTGTTTTTGTTTGTGTGAAATCCATGAGGAAATCCCTGTGATATGTCAGTCAGCACCACAAACCTGGGGCCTGATTAAAACTCAAGCAGTGGATGTTTGGAATCATTTTAAGAACTAGTAGCACTGCCAATTCTTAAGCTTACCTAATAGTCACTATTAAAAGACCCTTTTTCCAGCGGTTGAGTACTTCTGCCAGTCCTAAACTGTCTGGGATGAAATTTTCCATTCCTGGTCTGTGCTTTGGGCTGGTTTGGTTTTATTTATTTATTTGCATATTTCACCCAAAGCAGCTTCCAAACATGAGCTTAGAGAAAAACAAGTTGTTTTGTCTGTGTTAAAAAATTTGGCACTCTCCAAAAGTACCATGTACTGGAGAAGAGAGTTGAAAGTTGGGTACCAAGGGACATTTCGTACAGCGAACTGGGGAAAAAAAAGAGGCCAGGGATGAGGAATTGAAAGTGTAGAAGAGCTTGGCCATGGACAAAGTGGAGAGGCCACATGTGGGGAAAGATGGGCAGAGTGACGTGCTCCTGTGCAGAAGAGCTGAAGCAGAACCCAGGGTTGTTTAGGTTTACCACTCCCTTGCTGTCATCATGTATCTGAGGTACCCTTGGTCAAATATTTTCCTATTCTTTCATGATGGTGTGCAGTCAATCTAAACAAACCACAAAGGGCTTAAGATAAAGGCACAAGAAGTTTGTATGTTTGTAAGCGTATATAAAGGTATGTTTGTGTTTTTAACTCATGAGGAATTACCTCCCCAAGAGGTACTTTTAGGGAGTACTATTAGGGTCACTAAGTCACTACTCAAAAGAAAGAACCTGAATTCAAGTCCCTGTGTCTAGACCTGGTGATCCAATGCCAAAATATATGGCTTTATACTTTGCCACAGAAGCAAACCTGGTCTGGTTTTCCCTTTTGCAAAGTACAGTTAAATGGGAATTCTCATGGAATGCGGGTGCTGTATAATCTATGTTTTTTAAAATTATGTAGCCAAATTAGCTGTTACTTGTCTGTGCTCCCTAGTAAAAATAGTACTTCTTGCCACAATTCCCTTCTTCTGCATTTCACAGCAAAATTAGTGAATTAATGTGTGTGAAAAACTCAGATGCTTTAGTGAGGAGCAACATAGAAAAGTTCCTGAAGAAATTGGTAATTCTGTCATCAAAACAGGACCTTAGAGCAGTTAAAGAAAAAAACCCCAAACCATCAATCATGATCTGCATGTAAACTACTCACTGAGTAAGGGTCATTAATTATGTGTATTGAATAAGGCAGATTTCTCTTGAGAAAAACAGCTTCTGGTAATAGATAAAGAAGATTATAAAGCACTTAAAGAGGAACGAATTTAGTATAAAATATATTAAAAGCTGTATGTGGACCATATTTGTAACAGGAGCAGAACTAAGGTTACATTAAACGTAACTGTATCGTCTTCTAATTTTTGAGTCCTTGGTTTTGCAGCCTTAAAATGTATTTAACAGAAGTTTTGTATGCCACATTAATAAAAACCTGTACAAATGCATTCATTATGCTATTCCCTTATTCTTAATGTACTTTTCCTTCCTTAAGTCTTGCTAATGAAAAATGTTTCCAATGATTATGTATCACCTGTGAAGTGTTTGGCTTCTGAAATGGACTGATGGACTCCTTAGCAAGGTAATAACAAGGCCAAGTGTCAGTGTGAGGCAGATCTCCAAGGAGTATATGCAGCATCCCAATTAGCATGAAGACAGCCACAGTCCCATGTGATGTATATTCCTACTGAAGTTTTTCAGAGGTTTAGATTACTAGGCTCACTATATGCAACTTCTGATTCATTGTATGGAACAAGATGCACTGAAGACCCTAACGGTCTGTTTCAGAAATTAAATGTAACTGTTCCTGTTCAGGCCAATGGTGTTGATAGGGGTGGTCTAGCTGTGCAGTATGCATGAGGGAGAGATTACAGATGCCTGTTGTGTTTTAGTGCTCATCTGTATCTTATTTAATTTGCTAATGTTTTGTAATGTTTTTTGTGCAGATTAAATATAAGGAAGAAATTCAGCACGCAACAACTATTTCTGATCCACCTGAACTAAGGAGAGTTAAGGAAAACCAGAAGAATATTAGCAATGTGTGCCCCATTTTCGTTGCTCACGCATTCCTCTCTACTCTATTAAATGTGTTTGTGCTTCTGTGAACACATCCATGGTGTTTGTGCTAGTTCCTGTTTGTCCACAAAGACTAATTTAAACAATTAATGGTAAAATAATAACTCCTTACCCTTGCAATTTGATTTAAATCAATGAGACTGAAGTATTTCTGTTGAAATATTAATTGTCTGTGTCTGAAATAGAACTGCAAGAGGGTGAGTACGAAGTATCATATGGACGGATGCAGGTGTTTAGTAAGGCATGGTATTTTCCATCCAAATCCAGTGTGCTCTTTAATGATGTCTACAATGCTGTTGTATTTCTGTTACTTTGAAGACTCTGTGTAATATCTTCTGCTATGTTTACTAGGTTCAGTACAAAGAACAGCTCTGCAAAGCTACACCTGTGAGTCTCACCCCTGAGATTGAAAGAGTCAAGAGGAATCAAGAGAATGTCAGCATGGGAAGTTGCTCTCATTTAATCTTTCCTTTGATTTTTGGATGCAGAGGATGAGTACAAAGTTTTGCCTCAAGAAGCTGTGCCTTTTTTTTAGTTAAGTACAGGTTCAGTAATGGGATTACTTGAAAAAATCTTTTAAGAAGCAGTTGTGAAAAGCCATTTCTTGATTGGGAAAATGGAACATGAAGCATTACATATTTGATTAAATGTCTGCAATGTTTTGAAATGTTACTCTCTCTTTTGGGTATTGGCAGGAAGACTTCACAAATATATATGTATTTTAAACAGCTTCCTTTTCCAGCTATTATTATTCTTTGCTTTGTAAAAAAATGGCTATAGTTGTACTCAAACTCCAGCTCTCTTACCTATCTTTTTCTGGTACCTCAGTAACCTAAACCAGAGTTTAGTATTTAATGTCTGACATAACCATTAGAAAGTCATATTGTTTGCAGGAGCACAGGGAAAAAGGTAAGGACTTTTGGACCATGCTGATCTCTTCTTGCATTGTTGAAGCTGTTCCCCATTAATGGGTCTTTGAGAAACCAGTCATTCTCCTCATTGGGAACTGTCATTGACAGTCATAATTCATGGGGCTACAAAGAGCTACAGTGTTTCCCTGGGGTGTTTTCTGCCATGTTCCTCAATAATTTAGAGACACAATTTTCAAGAATACTGTCCATCTAACGTAAGTGTATGCTATTTATTCCTGGATTTATGTTGATATATCTAGCTCTCCTAAAATGCATGCTGTTCAAACAAACCTGTTTTCCCAAGTGATTCAAGCCAGTCTCTGTAGTTTTTTCTACTCACATCATTGTTTACCTTTCACCAGTTTTTGTTTTGTGCAAATTTCTTTGGAAAGATTAATTTCTCTTTCAGGTCACTGGAATAGCTTTGGACGAAGATTCTTTACCTTCAGATGTTTCTAGAAACATTAATCCTTGAATGATCATTTTACCTTTACAAATTTGAGTTTGCAAGTTTAATCCATTTGGTAGCTTACCATTGCTTTTATGAGATGTTAAGTTTTCAATTGGAATATGTTTATGTGGACAGACCAAAACTGTGTTGTGTGGAAAGACAATTGCTTGAACAATATGTGTAGTAACGTCACAGTGCACTGCAGAATTATGAGCATAATGTGTCAGTACAGTTATGCTTATCACAGAAAACACACAACAGATTATTAAAAAAAAGAAAGTTTGTATGGAAAAAATAATTTTACATAAAACTATATGGAGTGGCATGAATCATAAACCATCTCAAATTATTTACTAAATGTCTACTATAACTGAGTTCCCACTATTTGGGACCAGGCTTAACATTAGGCTGATTGGTCTGTCAATGCTACGTCCTATCCTTTATCCTCTTTTAGATACCAATCCTGCCTTGTGTGTGAATTTGTTTAATGCATCACTGCTACGTGATTTGTTAAAAGCAATAAGGGGGATATTCCTACAGTACATTTAAATAAACCCATGGTGAAATTAAGGCAGTTGGATTCAACTGGCAGTTGTCAAATGTATTACACCCACTGTGCTTAATCACCTTTAAATATAGAGTGTATAAAAGTTAGAACATGGATGGTATCCTTGTGGAATCTCTGTGTCTGGACAAATTATACATTTACAGTGGGCACTGCTGAAATTCAGTTTTTCATGTGCTCTGTTTGACTTTGCTGCATTTTTTTGTGGCTTACCCCATCCCTAATATATTTCTCTATCCAAGGATCAGTGTGGTAAATGTCAGGATGTTGTGTGTATATGTGTGTATATACCCACACAAATCTATTAAGAAGACAACTATACAGAAAGAATTCAAGGTTGTGCTTCAAAAATCAAGTTTTATAAGCTTTAATAAACTTCAAATGCATTTTAGCTTTTCACATGTTTCCTGGATGACCTTTTAAATCATACATTTTAATGTAATACAATGTGATATTGCTTTAGCTGAAATAGTATGTACCATTTTATTCTGATAAATAATAGGTTCACTACAGAGAGCAGCCTGGCAAAGCTACTGCTGTGAGTGTCACTCCTGAGATAGAGAGAGTCAAGAAGAATCAAGACAATATCAGCTCGGCAAGTTGTTTGACTCTTTTTGTCATTTAGATTTTCAGTCATTGTAGGAATATAACAAGGATATACTTTTCCATTTAGATCTGATATGTCGAATAAATTCAACTACATCATCCACTGAATGGATTTCTTTTATCCTTTGAGGATATGCACTGCTCATATGGGCAATAAAAATATTCAGACTTGCGTGATTATTCTTGCAAAAAAAGTAAGTGGTTGTGTTGGTGCCAGTATTTTCCAAGGAGACTCAGTAGAGGTCAGTTATTCTTTCAAGAATCTTTCTCTCTTGTTACCAAGTTTTAGTTGCTATATTGAAGGAGTAAATTACAGTGATGATCAAAGGAAATGATAATTTAATTTTACATCAAATTTCATATTTTTATGGTTCAAAGCATGGAAGCATATAGTCATCCATTACACTCTGTGACGTGTCACCTATGTTAGAGCTGAGTAGTCCTATATAGATCCTATTACTAAACGTTAAAGAGTAAAATATGATATTTTTCCTGGCTTTTATGATAATACTTAACATCACTACAGTGAGATAAGAAGCAGCAGACAGTTCTAATAAGGAGCAAGGAAGAAGTCAAAACAGCACAGTGAAATAAAGACCAAACTAGTTACATTAGAGTCTGTGCCCTCAACACTGAAACATCAGTGACAAAGCCCCTGCAGATGGTAAATAGAACAGATTTCATGCAGAGCCACTGTCTCAAGGTGGCAGAAGAGAATTAATAGTAGTGAACACTTTAGAACTGATTGTAGGGGGGGTAAAGTAAAGTAGGTTGGATTTGTCAGAGGATTTATCTAAGGACAAAGGAACAGAATCTGACCTTGTAACTATATATGTCTTAAGTACATTCTTAAAATCTCATGCATATTTACCAAAGTCAGTTAGTTTTGAGGTGAATAGTTAAAAATAAGAGGAATACTTCCCAACAATCAAATAATTTTTTTATTTGTGAAAATTAAGCTTCTTTTTCCCAAATGACACCTTCTCTTCATTTCTCAAGATTTACAGGGATAAATGCTCCTCTGAGCATTTGATGAAACCCAGACTATGCTGGTTATAATTATTCTGTCCAGTAAATACCTTATATTCAAAAGCATATGTAGCTGAATATACTTTTTAAGAAAATGTATTGTTTAATTAAGAAGTGTTTGAAGAATTTGCAGTACCATATATTTCTGTTTCTCTGTTCATTACTTCAAACTTACTTATGAAACGAAGACACTGAGAGTCTTGTTTTCATACATACGTTGTGTTTGCTTATATGTAATTTTAAGGAGGATTAGACACTTTTGATACATGGTTTCTGTTATGACAAATGCATTTTGAAATAGATTTGCATAACTGATTTGAGAGGTAATACTTTGAGTATGAATGTATAGGTAAATCTAAATTATTTTCTAACACTTGATACACAGGTTACAATGCAATGTAGGAGCTAAGAGAGCCCATTAGTAGAAGAATTCAACCAGGCAGAGGAAACTGTAAGAGTACTCATTCTAGAACCAACAAGTAGTGCCAGCTATTTTTACAGTTTTAGAATTTTCAGTGTAGTTTTTTTAAAAAATATAATTATCGTTATATCTTTATAAATATATAAAATGCTGCAAAAGATGCTAATTAGAATGTGACAGAGGAAGTTCTGTACTTATAGACGCACAAAACACAGAGACCAAATGTTCTCTTTGAAAACAGCATACTCAGGTTTGTCCCAGACATGTTGCTTTTGTGCTACTAGAAAAGTCTAACTACCGAACAGGAGTACTAAGGCTGCCACAGGACTAATCTGCTCATAAGAGTTGAATTCCCTGAGGAGCCAGGGGTTGTCATGCTAATCCCAAGCTGGAAGCAGAGTGAGGACAGAATCTGGGTCTGTCTGAGTAATAAGAAGATAGCTTATCACCAGCCATACAAATATGTTTTAAAGGTGTGCAAGTCACAGTGGTGGTTTCTTATTATTTGTCTGATTTTTTCAGTTGATAAATGAATTATTCCACTTATGTCATTTAAACAGTCAGGAGTTTCAGCTTTCAGGTAAATACTGTTTTTTTCAATAAGTGATTGATGAAATAAATGTGCCCTTTGGCCTTACCAATATATTAGCTCATTTGTATTCTCTCTCTGAAATAAGTCACTAAAAAATGAGTGTAAAGAAACAAGAAGAGCGTGGGACATTATGAGTTGGAAAGGATACCATTGGCATGGTGTGATTCTCCCCATCCTTTCTACTCTAGACAAAAACTTCATGTGTGCTCTTGTTGCTGTTTTGCAGGTCAAGTACAGCAGTGATCAGAGGCAGATGAAAGGTAGACATAGTATGCTTCTAGACACACCTGAGCTAAGGCATGTCAAAGAAACTCAAAACAACATCTCAATGGTAGGGTACTTTCTTCCTATAACTACAATATACTAAGGAATGGCACTTGACTTCCACTGGATTTTGCCTTCCATTAATATAGGTAACTAATGAAACTCGATACTCAAGTATGGAAGAAATATTTTCTTATGCCTGTTGAGGGAGTGTTTGCTAACTGCATATGACTGTAATGATCATTTTCAAAATACTAATAAACAGTTTTCTAACAGTTAAGTGTCTGTTCTTTTGTTTGGTTGTTTTTTTTTTTTTTTCTTTAAAAAAATACACACCTCATTTGAGCATCACAGAATTTGACTGGATTAGGTGACACACTTCACCTTGTGCCTGTGCACGTTCCTGGTTTCTGCGTGGCTTTTGTTCTTGGAATGAATTGTTTTGTGTGCATTTGCTTGTGTGAGAATGCTTGTCAACTTAATTATTTGATTAAGACTATTTGAAAAATAAATATGCATAATCAGGGATACTACCTTAATAACTCTTACTAATACTGTTTTTGTTCAAACACTTGGTTATAACACTTTCTACCCTAATGTCCTTGGTTTTAATTTTCTTTTTTTCTTGAAAGTAGGTTGCTTAGAATTACTGCAATTCTTTCTAAAAACCTATGTTTAAAGCCAGCTGGCATATGATAAAACAAAAGAGCAAAAGAGTACCTTTTGTATGAAATGGTGCATATAATGAAAATTCTCAGTGAATAAGAATACTTGAGTTCTTTAGACCTATTACTGCTGGAACATTTTTTACTGGCAGATGTAGTTGTCTACATCAGGAGAGAGCTATCTTATCTTAGAGAAGCAGGGAATGGACTAGATAACCTGATGGCTTTTACTGTCCTATGTGACTGTATGACGATGCTTTGCTGCTTTAGCAAAGATTGATAGACTGGATGGCCGGCCAAGTCTTTTCTCACAGTTCTATTATGGTGCAAAACCCAAAGAATATAAGTGCATCATAAAACAGATGTATGCATTCTTGCATAGGATAACAATTTGCTGTCAATTGCAGCTTGGGGAAAAAATTGTAATTCTTCTGGTTTTCCTAGGTAAAATACCATGAAGATTTTGAGAAGACAAAGGGCAGAGGCTTCACCCCAGTGGTAGATGATCCTGTAACCGAGCGGGTGCGGAAAAACACCCAAATTGTGAGTGATGCAGCATATAAAGGTGTGCATCCACATATTGTTGAAATGGATAGAAGACCAGGAATAATTGTTGGTAAGTTGTTAAATACCATTGCTGCTGAAAACAGTGGGGGTAAGATGAAAGCCTCTGCTTGTGTTCTCCACTATAAGCACGAAAAAGTACTCCCACATTTCTTTTTCACTCTTTTATCACTATGAAACTTGTGCTGAACTACTGGTTCAATGGCAGCTTCTTGTGAAGTAATAATGGGAATGAAAGGGAGACACATTGTAACTTGCTCTGTAATTTTTTTGAAAATGTGGATAGTCACTGCTACTTTTGGTCTGAATTTTAGTTCTTCAAGAAAGGCCAAAATATCTGCAATAATCTTCATTTTGCACAGAAGACAAGTGACTAAAACTGTGATTCTCCAAGTTTTCAATGTTTAAATGTTGCAGTCTAGTTTGAGATTTCCTGTTCTGTCAGTCAGAAATTTTCTCTAGAGATGCACATGCTCCATTTACCTCTTGCCTTAGAATTTCATAGAGCTTTCAAAATATTTCAAGCTGTGACTCATCAATAACTCATTAGGTCTCTGGTAAGCTAAACACCAGTGTTCAGAAGTGATATTCTCAAAGATGGTCCAAGGTAAGACCAGATATTCAAGGGGTAGAATACAGACTGGTTTTGTACGTAGAGACAGAGTATTGCATTAAGATATCCTTCAGGGTATTCATCATAAACACTATTTCAAAATCAAAGCGGATATTTTAAATCTCTTAAAAGTTAGCAAGTCTGCTATGGCAAAGGAAATGGTAACCTGACATTTTTATTTTTTTGTCCTTTCTTTTTGTTTTGGTGTGTCCTTTTTCTGTTTTTTTGTGCTTTACTACAGTGTAGACCCCAGAGGGTCTATGTATGGAAAAACTTGTTGAAAAATGGCGCTCTCAAATCCTTCAAGCATAGTAATAATAGCAAGGGTTGACTTAAATCTACCTCTCAAAGTTAGAGAAATTTCAAGTCAAATAGACTAATCTGAGGGTCACATAGTCCATCCTCCTGTCTAAACCAAGGTTAGCTAGATCTATATCATTCCCATCAGATGCTTCCTCAGTCTTTTCCTTAAAGTCTGCAAATGAGTCACCACATAAAGAAACATCAACCTTATGCCGGAAGGGAGTTCTCAAAAGTGAGTATTTAGAGAGCTCTGTCTGGGGAAGGTACTCATGCTTTTAAGACCATGCAAGTCTCAGAGGGTCACGTGTTCTGGATCTAGGGCAACATCTTGTTCAGAATATCACAGTCTTTAGAGATCTGAGCACTTGAACTCACTACCATAGCTAGAGGTGGTGCAGGCAAAGAGAGAGAGAGAGAGGAGAAAAATTGCAGTTTAATATACAGTTTGCAATATGCTGTTCAGTGTGCATTTCAAACCTCCTGCTCTATAATGCATTACATGTGTACTGCAACCCTATGTAAGAATCTTGAGTGCAATCCTGTGTTCTATAACCAAAGACTTGCTAGCATAAACAGATTAGGATTAAGAACATCCCCAGGATAAATTCTTGAACTGTAACTGAAATATTAGTACAGTTTATCACCTTAAAATACACCAGCATCAAAACACACAGGAATTCTTAACTCTCCACGCCCACCAAGCAGCAAAAATAGTCCAACTATTTAAAGGAAATAGGCCATGACAAACTTGTGAGCCCAATATCCAGTGATATTTCAGCTAATGCTTTTTCAGAGTGAACTGCAACTATAATATCTGCTTGTTTGAAAAGCAGCAGTGAGCTCCCTCCTCACGGAATGTCCTTGGCAGCTAGAAAAAAAAAAAATTGCAGACTGAAAAAACCAACGATGACTCTCTTGATATTTTTCCTAGTTGATAATTGTTCTGCCAGTTAGGAAAAGTACCTCTGTGTTGAAGCCCATCTGTTTGGTTTTTAAAGTGTTATTGGTGAAGCTGTAACAACTTTTTCAAATGCCCAACTACTAAAATTAATGTCTCTGTTTTGGCAAATAAACAATGGTTTTCACTATGCTAAAGCCATTCTAAACCCATCAAGATAAGTTAATCAAACTGAGCTTTGAATCTGTGACTAACGAGGTTCCATGATTCTCATGTGAGTATAAGGATATTTTAAATTGACAAAAGTCACCAGAAAGTTAAAATTATTGTTGCTATAAATTGCCAAGATGTTATTTCAGATTACCGAGCTAGATAAAATGGATACAAATCAATGGGTGCCACACTGATGCTCCATCATAATGTAGTTATGGTTTTTACTTACTAAGGCATGATCAAACAGGAAAAGCTGGGCGTTCACCAGTTCCCCCACCCCTCTCATGTCTGTCAGTGCTTTATGTAGTTGCATAGTTTATCATTATTAAGACTAACACATAGTTTATCAAAGGATTTTTGCACTGGCTTTTATTCATCTTGTCAAAAGGGAGTTTGCACTATGCCTCACCTTATGGGAGTTGCAGTAGATAACACGTAATATACATACACTGAATGTATTCTAGAGCCATGGGATTTATTTTATTAGGTCTGTCTGTTCTTTCCATTGTCTCTACGCTATTAATCATTTGAAACATGACATATTTGGGGTTCCCACAGTCCTACTTTACCTACCAACCCATTATTTAGCTTGGTACCGCTCAAACCAACAAAAGGACCAAGTTAGGAAAACAGTTATTTTTCCCCCTTCCAATGCATTGAGTAAATCTTGCAGACAGGTCTGCTCAAGGAGCAAATCACTAGTAAAAAGGTGTGATCTGGTAGATTTGTGCTTTAACTGATTGCAGTTTATGTCAAGGTTTTATTTTAAACTGGCTTGCAGAGATTAAATTATATTTTTAGACATAGCAGATATGAATTGTGTATATTAGATGTGGGTAGATCAAGAATTTACCCTGTAGCTGTTTCTGCATTGTTATAAACCTCCTCTTAGCTTGTACAACACTGTAATTATTTGTTAAAATTTTATTAAAAACTTGGTTCAATCTGTATTAACTTTTCTGATGTGACTAAAACTTGGTTCAATCTGTATTAACTCTTCTGATGTGACCGCCAAGCTGTGTGGCACGGTCGAC